ACACATACTTTATAACGTTAAGATTACCCATATTTTCAAAACTAACAGAATTTCAAAATGTAGAAATAATTTATCTTCAGCTCCTTTCAAGTGATTAAGATTTAAAATTCTCATTATCGTCATGTATCAACAAGCTGCGTTTATAAAACTTTCTTAAAAGAAAACTAAAACACTTTTTCTTAGGATAAAATGCATGCATCCAATCATGTATCTATTGTTTCTCGGTTATGAGAGGCACCATATTTTGGAGATAAATAATATAGGAAGTGCAGGGGCGGAACCAGAAATTTAGTCGGGAGGGGACAAAAGACATAACATAATTTGTAAAACATAACAAAAATGCATAAAAAGACAAAAAAAAAAAAAAATTGGGCCTGGGATGCAAAAATAAATCTAAGAAGGGGGCAATTAAATTTTTTTTAATATTAATAGTAGAAAAAAAAAAAAAAATTGAGGGGGGGGCAATTGCCCCCTACTAATACAAGTAGAATCGCCCCTGGAAGAGCCAACATTATTTACTCATCTATACTTATATTAAAAGTCATACTATTTACCAAAAATAGTAGCAAAAAAAAGTCAACTCACATTTAATGCATACTTTATTTAGAAATTTTTTACTATATGCATTAATTGCTTGCATATATACATTTCCTATTCAAATATGATCAAAAATGATTCTTTCCTTAAATAATTTTATTAACTTCTGCAATGATTTTACTGATATATATTATAATTCGAGTAATGCTATAGGTACACAATGTTGTACTTAGAGGTGTACATAGCACTCACATTAAGTGGGACCCACTAAAATTAAAAAATCAAGTGGACACCACTCCATGTGAGTGTTATGCACATCTTTATGTACATTTATTATGTACATGTAACATTTTTCTTATAATTCATATTTGTCGATAGTATTTTTTAAATTTTTATTTGAGTATATAAAAAACAAATGTTTTTTTTCAATTAATATTTTATTTATCATTTAAGAGATAATGATCACATCATTAAATGATATTACTTATGGCTAGATAATAAATTATATATATTAATTATTCTTTAAATTTTTGGCATGTTATTTATTTGTATCTATACTTATTATATAAGATATCGGGTATCCTATTTACCAAATTTAGTAGATTGAAAAGTCAACGTAATTAATGCATTGCTATTTCTATCCAGAATTTTATTTAATTATTTTATTTATTTGTCTTATATCCCATAAAATCAGTTTAAGAAAAAAAATCTCATAACATATGACAAGTAAAAAAAAAGACGTAAAATCTTTACTAAAATAAAAAGACTTTATTTATTTGTCTTATTCAATATTAACATCGGTTTTGTCAAAATAAATCCCATAAAATCAGTGAAGTCAAAATTTGTACGTAAAGTCTATCTATCCAAAGAAAAAAGTCAGATTCAAAATTCCTTATCTAATTCATTCTTTTTCTTATCTAATTCCTTCTTTTCCTTATCTAATTCTTTTTTATTATCTAATTGTATGAAAATCTGTTCTGATTTTGTTCAATCCTCTAATTGTATTTGTATTATATTCCATAAAATCGGTTTAAAAAAAAATTCTATAACATCCGATAAGTAAAAAAACAAAAATACGTAAAATCTTTACTAAAATAAAAAGGTTTTATTTGTTATCTAATTTATTATTTAATTGTATGGAAATTTGTTATGATTTTATGGTACGTACTACAAATTGTGCACCCGTGTTCAGGAGCTACTTAACGGGCAAGCTCTGTGGAAATGACTAATTTAGTGCTTCTGTCTCGTGCATACGGTATGTATTTTTATTACACATACTAGAAAATTATGCACCCCGTGCATCACACGGGCTCTGTACTAATAAATGAACTTAAAATTGTGCACCCCGTACATCACCCATGTTCACATTTTGGCCTATTACAGGTCACGTACTAAATATATACCGTACATTTTTTTATTCATTTATATAATTATAAGAATGGATAAATGACCTTAAAATTGTGCACCCTGTGCATCGCACGAGCTCTGTACTAGTATAACATATAACTTGAACAATTTTCAAATTATCCGGTGGTAAACTATTTCTAAACATAAATGGGAGCATAAGATGAATATTTTTTGTTTTCACATTCAATTTATCTAGCTTCTCTATATGTTGTTTGGTGTTAATAATTTTATCTATACTTATATTAAAAGCCATACTATTTACCAAAAATAGTAGCAAGAAAAGTCAACTAACATTTAATACATACTTTATTTAGAAATTTTTTATTATATGCATTAGTTGCTTGCATATATACATTTCCTATTCAAATATGATCAAAAAGATTCTTTCATTAAATAATTTTATTAACTTCTGCAATGATTTTACTGATATATATTATAATTCATATTTGTCGATAGTATTTTTTAATTTTTATTTGAGTATATAAAAAACAATTTTTTTTTAAATTAATATTTTATTTATCTTTTAAAAATAATGATCACATCATTAAATGATATTATTGATGGCTAGATAATAAATTAAAATACATTAATTATTCTTTAAAATTTTGGCATGTTATTTATTTGTATCTATATTTATTATATAAGGTATCCTATTCACCAAATTTAGTAGATTAAAAAGTCAACGTAATTAATGCATTGCTATTTATATCCAAATTTTTATTTAATTATTTTATTTATTTGTCTTATATCTCATAAAATCAGTTTAAGAAAAAAAATCCAATAACATCGACAAGTAAAAAAATAAAGACGTAAAATCTTTACTAAAATAAAAAGACTTTATTTATTTGTCTTATTACATATTAACATTGATTTTGTCAAAATAAATCTCATAAAATCAGTGAAGTCAAAATTTGTACGTAAAGTCTATCTATCAAAAAAAAAAAAAAAGTCAAATTCAAAATTCCTTATCTAATTCCTTCTTTTTCTTATCTAATCCATTCTTTTTCTTATCTAATATCTTCTTTTCCTTATCTAATTTTTTTTATTATCTAATTGTATGAAAATCTGTTCTGATTTTGTTCAATCCTCTAATTGTATTTATATTATATTCCATAAAATCGGTTTAACAAAAAATTCTATAACATCCGATAAGTAAAAAAACAAAAATACGTAAAATCTTTACTAAAATAAAAAGGTTTTATTTGTTATCTAATTTATTATTTAATTGTATGGAAATTTGTTATGATTTTATGGTACGTACTACAAATTGTGCACCCGTGTTCAGGAGCTACTTAACGGGCAAGCTCTGTGGAAATGACTCATTTAATGCTTCTGTCCCGTGCATACGATATGTATTTTTATTACACATACTAGAAAATTATGCACCTCGTGCATCGCATGAGCTCTATATTAATAAATGACCTTAAAATTGTGCACCCCGTGCATCACGCGTGTTCACATTTTTGCCTATTACAGATCACGTACTATACATATCCCGTACATTTTTTTTTATTCATTTATATAATTATAAGAATGGATAAATGACCTTAAAATTGTGTACCCGTGCATCGCACGGACTCTGTACTAGTTTTTGTTTATAGGTGCAAGTTATCATTCTTACAGGTGCATTTAGGGTAAAAAAGCTCATATAATTTCAAGAAAATTATGAGTTTCAAAGATATTACCTGCCTAAATTTTGAATGGATGAAGCCTTAGATTTATAAATGCGACATAAGAGATCTATGAAAGCATTCGTAATAATTGATTTATGAATTTGAAAATCCATTTATTCGTTTGTATTTGCTTTTTATTATATAATTTGTTTGGAGTACTAGGAATCACTTGACAACTTGTTTGAGAAGGAAATATGTGATTGATTTGGTGACTTGCACTCGTTTAATAACATCTATCGACTGTCATTGTTAGATTATTAATTACGTTGCGACGATGTCCTCTGGAGGATATATGTGCATTCATGAACCAAAATATGCCATAGGGTGCGAGGTTACAACCAACATGTTATACGTAATACAATCGAACATTTTTTCTATTTTTATACTACAATAATGGGACTATCCCCCTATATATTAATCCAGAACGTGCCGAGCCTACGTGGCTGCTTTTTGTGTTTCGAAATCCTATGTGGCAAAATTACATGCTTCGTTATTAGGTTTGGGTAAGTTTTAATTTAATTCCAAACCAAAAATAATTAGGTTCGGATTACCATAAATATGTTGATTATTTATGGTCATGTTACATTAATTGCATTTTAATATAATTCCTTATTATAACTATTGAATTGTATATATATTTTAAAATTTAATAACTTTTGTATTTTTTTATATGTTTTACATATGTAATATATCAAATTAATCTTCTTTTGATTAGTTTCGATTTAACAATATTGTATGTATAAAAAAGATAATTTATATTTATCTTGATAACAATAATAAAATTATTTTTAATATTAATGAGAAAAATAAAATTATTTATCAATTAATATATTTATATTTCAAGTAGTTATATGATATAAGTTATAAAAACTAATATAATATTACACATGTAAGTCATAAGTAACACATATCTTTCTAAAATATATAGTAATATATTTTTTTTTTGAAAAAAAGTAAACTAAATTTAATATAGTGTTCTCATTAATTTTAAAATTTAAGAATAATTTTTTGACAAGCACCCGTGTAATACACGGGTGTTGTACTAGTAATGTATTCATTTTTAAAGATATTAAAAAAAACACTAACTGTCAAAAAGCTCTTCACTTGCATTCGTCTATATTACTATTGGAGGATGTTACGGTCTCGCTACGGAACCATTCTGGCGAGAGTTGTAAACGTTAGATCAACTATCTCTGACGGTTACATGATGATCTGACGGTTACAAATTTCGATGAAATGATTCTATAACGTAGCATTTTTCACTACTATTATAGACATGGGTTAGAATGTTGTAATCTTGGAT